ATATAGGTACACACATGCGCACACGCGCATGCGCGCGCGTGTGTGTATATGTGGGTGTGCTCCATATGCACGAATATAAAGCATACACAACAAAGATTCATTGATTTTCAATGAACAAAGTACTAACGTTGACTAATTTTATATAATGTGCGTCCGGAGAATATTAGCGCTATTTGTGTCATTCTTTTTTTATTGTTCGTTAAACGTAAACTAAGGACAGAATCACACAAATAGCGCGGATAGTATCGTCCCGAACGCATACATAAAGCAGCTTGAAAGCAATCACAACGATACTATATAACGAGATAGGAACTATTATACGAGCAGTTGCATGCTACGACTCGCCTCGGCAGTACTGCTAGTGTTCTAGAGATAGTCATATCTTATCTGATATCTAAAAAAAATTGTAGTGAGATTTCCAAATAAAATCAGTTTGTGCCATGGAATACTGGTCGATATTATTGTCGATAATAATCGGAGTGATCAGCATTCACTACCTTTTTAGAAATTTTAATTTCCTTAAAAGAAATGGTATTATACACTTACCGTCTGTTCCATTATTCGGATCTACAATGTCGGTTATATTTCGTCGAATATCATTCACAGATTTCCTTCTGAAGGTATACTATTTCAATCCAAACTCAAAATATCTTGGATTCTACTTCATGACAAATCCAATATTCGTGATTCGTGATTTGGAACTCGTTAAAAATATCCTTGTTAAAAATTTTGAAGCATTTCCAGATCGTCAAGGTTTCTCCGATGCAAATGACTCTTTATTCAAGAACAATTTGTTTTCTCTTCATGGAGAAAAATGGCGGAACGTGAGAAATCTGTTGAGTCCTTCTTTTACTTCCAGCAAGATGAAAATGATGTTCACGTTAATGTCGGATTGTGCTGTGGATTTTTTAAAACTTATACCGACATCGTCAACGGATGAAGAAAGTATAAACACGAAAGATGTTTTCTCAAAATATACAAACGACGTCATCGCTACATGTGCGTTTGGAATTAAAGTTAACTCTATGAAGGATCCAACAAATAAATTCTATGTTTACGGCAAGGAGGCGAGTAACTTCAGAGGGGTCATTCGCAGCATAAAATTTCTTTTTCTTGGAATTTTTCCAAAACTCAGTCGAATTCTTAATATAAAGATTTTGGACGATTATGTGTCGAATTTCTTCAAGGACATTATAAAAACTACAATCACGACTCGCGATGCGGAACACATTACACGTCCGGATATGCTACAGTTAATGATGGATATCAGAGGCAAAGAAGGTCATAGAGAACTAGACATCGACGACATGACTGCGCAAGCGTTCATCTTTTTCCTCGGTGGTTTCGAGACCAGTTCAACCGAAATGTGCTTTGCAGCTCACGAAATTGCAGCTAATCCAGATATTCAGACCAAATTACAACAAGAGATCGACAATGCTTTGGAGAAATCAAACGGAGAAGTGTCTTACGAAGTCATTAATCGGCTGGAATATTTAGATGCGGTGATAAATGAGACTCTTAGATTATATCCACCAATCGGTATGTTAGATAGAATGTGCAAAAAAACTTATGAATTTCCACCCGCATTGCCAGACAAGAAACCTTTTATCATGAAAAAGGGTACGCTTATTTGGATTCCGATTTTTGCAATCCAACGTGATGAAAAATATTACGATAATCCGGAGAAGTTTGATCCAGAAAGATTTTTAGACAATAAAATGCACAATTCTTTGTGTTATATGCCATTTGGATTAGGACCGAGAATGTGCATAGCTAACAGGTTTGCTATGCTAGAAGTTAAAATTTTGCTGTTTCATTTATTAGCGCGATATGAGCTGAAACCTTCTACGAAAACCGCTTCCCCAATAAAATTTTGCAAAGATGGATTGCTAATGCCAGAGAGTGGATTTTGGTTGAATATTCAGCGCAGAAAAGATGTACATCCTGTGCTAACATCTTATAATTGTGAATAGATAAGCTTCGGAAAACACTTTAAATAGTAATAACATAATTTTTATTAAAAAATTTCTGTTATCAATTCTTTGGTTTATGATTTAAAGTGCGTTTTAGCATCATTATTGAATTGACGGTTAATACAATGTTTTATATTATTTTCAGCTTCAATTCACGATTGTGCTTCAAGACAAGTCGAGTCGGAGTCATAATTTGTAGAACTGAAAGATATGGCTATAAATTTTCATCTGTGGTAAATACATATATATGTATATAATATTAATATTATCAAGCACATCTTATTATTTATAAATGTAAACTTATTAAAATTGTTATTGAAATCTGTTTTAATCGAAAAAATTTTCTTTTCTTATTTGATTTACTTATATCAATCTAAATTCCGCAAGAATATACATTTATTTCCCATGTTCATGATCTTCATAAATAATATACGTATACTATAATATTATATGTGATAGTAGAGAGTAAAAAATCAAGATTATTATATTTAATATATCAAGATATATTAAAATTATTTGTTAGAAATATCAATAATAATTTCTCGTACATCAATGTTGCATGCACACTCACATAAACTTTCGTAGAATAATAACGTTTTAATGAGACATTTTAATTTACTTCTAAGAATTCAATGTTATTTCTTCATGTAATTTACAATACTATGTCTATAACCTACAATTTCGTAAGTACAGATTGTAAAAGAAATTATTAAACGAATGTCGCGACTTTGACATCTCAAAACGCCATATTAAAATAAGTGATAAAAAAAGGTCATAATTAAAAAAATTTTTGTCACTTTCGGCATAAATTCCAAGACACATATATAGTATGTATAATAAACCTTACTTTTAAAGAAGAATTTTCAAATTTATATAAATAATATATGTATATTAAGACTTTAAATACAAAGCGCCTTTTCGGTCGAGTGTTAAGATGTTGAACTACTATCTAATATACATTCAATTAAATTGAATTAATATTTCAGAAATAAATTGAGAGCCGATGGATTTATCGGATTCACACAATCAATCTGAAACAAATAATCCCCCCCAAATTCTCCCAAATCTTAAAAAACTGTAATAAACTTATTGCGAAAAATATTGCCTCGGCCGGGAGTCGAACCCGGATCTCTTACATTCCGTGTGAGCGTCCTGAGCCTTTAGACTACCGAGACCTTAATTGTTATTTTATAAACTATAAAAATTTATTCTCATATAAACTCCAAATAAAAATGGAATATTTTCAGTCAAACTAATGCGTTTTTTTTTTATAAAATTAGTTTCCTTTTAAATCTATATAACGTATAATAATTTATAAAATAACTCTAAGCGACATATTTTGATACATCATTTATTTTTCATCTTATTTTATTTTATATTATATTAAATACTATTTTTAGTAAAAAGTATTTCCAAACATCGCTTCCTATCATTTAGAAATAATGCTGTAATAACGTTAAAAACAAAATTTACACATATATGTAATCTTTAAATTACATATTTATAATTTTATAAGTGAATATGATGTATAAACATCTTCATTTATCTTCTACAGATAACATAAGTAATTTAATTTTAAATATACATACGAGTATGTGTTGCATATATACAAACATGCAGCAGACATAATAAAGATTTGATTTACAACGAGCAAAGTACCAAAGCTGATTTATTATGTAATATCAGTTCAAAAATATTTTTTTATCAGAATGACTATCAATATATTACTACATTAGAATAAGCTGTACGAGTAGTTGTCTGTAACAACGCGCGTCAGAAACACCGCAAATACTCTTAAGTTAATCACATCTTATCACACGTAAATTTACAAAGGAATTGTAACAAGATTTTCAAACAACATGGAATATTGGTTGATACTGTTATCTATAGTGATCAGTGTGATGTGTATTCATTATCTTTTTAGAAACTTTAATTTCTTTAAAAGACATGGTATTATACATATACCGCCTGTTCCAATATTCGGAGCCATGACATCGGTTTTATTTCACCGAATATCATTCGTCGATTTTCTCGTGAAGATATACAATTTCAATCCAAATGCAAAGTATATTGGATTCTACTTGGCGACAAATCCAATCGTCTTGCTTCGCGATCCGGAACTCATTAAAAATATTCTTGTTAAGAATTTTGAGTCATTTCCAAATCGTAATGGTTTATCTAATTTAAATGACTCTGTATTTGAAAAAAATTTGTTTTCTCTTCAGGGAGAAAAGTGGCGGAACGTAAGAACGTTATTGAGTCCCTCTTTTACGTCCAGCAAGATGAAAATGATGTTCACGTTGATGTCGGAATGTGCTATGGACTTTGCAAAATTTCTATCGACATTTCCAGCATATGAAGAGAGTATAAACATGAAAGATGCTTTCTCTAAGTATACAAATGACGTCATTGCGACGTGTGCTTTCGGAATCAAAATCAATTCTATGAAGGATCCAGCAAATAAGTTTTATGTTAACGGCAAGGAAGCGACTAACTTCAGAGGCATTCGTGGCTTGAAGTTCTTTTTTCTCAGAAATTTCCCAAGACTCGGGCGATTTCTGAATATAAAGTTTGTGAATAAATACGTTACGAATTTTTTCAAAGACATTATAAAGACTACAATCGCTACTCGTGATGCAGAACACATCACTCGCCCGGATATGCTACAGTTAATGATGGATATTAGAGGCAAAGAAGGTCGTAGAGAACTAGACATCGACTACATGACTGCGCAGGCATTCATTTTTTTCCTTGGAGGCTTCGAAACCAGTTCAACTGCGATGTCGTTTATAGCTCACGAAATCGCAGCTAACCCAGAAGTTCAAACCAAACTACAACAAGAGATCGACAAGGTTTTGGAGGAATCGCACGAAGAAGTGTCTTACGAAGCCATTAATCAGCTAAAATATTTGGATGCAGTGATAAACGAGGCTCTGAGATTATATCCACCAATCGGCATTTTAGAAAGGATATGCGAAAAAACTTATGAATTACCATCCGCATTGCCGGACAAGAAACCTTTTATCTTGAAAAAGGGTATGTTTGTTTGGATTCCGATTTTTGCAATCCAACGTGATGAAAAATATTACGATAATCCGGAGAAGTTTGATCCAGAAAGATTTTTAGATAATAAGATGCATAATTCTTCATGGTACATGCCATTCGGATGTGGGCCGAGAATGTGCATAGCTAATAGGTTTGCCATGCTGGAAATCAAAGTCTTGCTGTTTCACATATTAGCGCAATGTGATCTGAAACCTTGCACAAAAACTACGTCGCCAATAAAATTTTGCAAAGATTTCATGATAATGCCGGAAAATGGATTTTGGTTAAATATTCGACGTAGAAAAGATAAGCATTCTACGCTGAAGGCTACTGTAGTGGATAGTTAAGCCATAAAAGCATTTCAGTAATAACATAATTATTATGTTTTTTATTCTACTTGTACTTTTTTATATTTTATACTATTAAGAAATAAAAAATAGTAAATAGAAATATTTTATTTTGCCGTGAAATATCAAGATATCAAATAAGTTTTTATTTCAATATATATTAATGTAAATAATGAACACTATTTGCCTTTCTTATATTTACTACGAAAAAAATTATTTTAAATAGTATTTCTATAGACAAATCCTCTAAATAAATATTATTATCGAACCTATTTCATTTTTCCTTGCACTGAAAACATGTATTTATTTTTACTATTTTCTATTTTAATTAATTATTTTTCCAAGCACAGGTCACTAGATATTTAAGTATTATATATTCGATTATATATATGTAAATATATAGCACTACACTTTTATAAATTTTCAAATATACAAAACTATACTATTATATATTATAATAATCTGAAAAAGAGTTTGATCCAGAAAGATTTTTAGACGATAAGATGCACAGTTCTTCATCGTACCTGCCATTCGAATTAGGATCGTGAATGTGCAATTCTCTTTTACTTTACAATCGAATCTTGATCAAAATTACAACTTTGTCAGCTAGTAAGGTCAGACAACGCTTGTCGATTGTTGGAGACCCTTTCACGTTGCCGAAAAAGTGATCAGCGTAAGTACTGCTTGTCACGTTCGTTTGCTGTAACATGTTCGTATCTCGATCGGGGTCTTATTTCTATGGAGGACGTGGTAAGTGAATCGGGCCGAGTTGCACAATTTCTCCCTACTTGCCCCCCCCCCCTCTCTCTTCCTCGCGTCCACTCTTGTATCGAGCGATGGAGGAGAGGCAAACGCCACGAGAGGAGAACACAACCTGCACTCCTGTCTAATGAATAGTTGGGTCAGACTGCTGCCTTGGTAAATGCTGAGAATTAACCGTCTGCTTCTTGACATTTTGCTCGGAAGAAGATCCTCTCCTCTCGCGGAGTCTCTTTCTCGCGATCTGTCTAGTCTTGCTGTACTCTCCTTAGCCATTCTCTTCTTTTATTACCAGACATTATGCGATAACGATGTAAAACTTAAAGAAATTTTATAACTATATTAAACTATAAAATTGTAATAAAAAAAAATATTATTTTTATCCCCCTAAATAAATTATTATTTCTCGGTAGTTGATATTAATCGAAATTCTTCGTGGACTATTCTAAGAAGATAGCTATTAATTCTTGATTGAATATATATAGCACGTATTTACCTAGCTTAATGTGAATAGCAAAAGATATAATAAGGATGTAATAAATAATGATGTTAAAGTACAGTCGTACGATTCGAACAAAGGTGAACATCATTCTTCTGAATAATATTACGTCTATTGTTAAATAAATTATAATAAATTTTAAATAAAACCATTATTCACATGCGTGGTGGATACGACACGATGATACTAACAGCTAAAATCTCCGTTTAATGATTTCAATAAAAACCGAAGTCCATTCACAAACGCGAGAGAAGATTCTCCACTTTCCAAGATCCCTTTTTCTTTCGATTTTTTTTTTTAACCTACCATCCTTTTTATCAAATGTCGTTCGCTAACGACCGATAATCGGAAAAAAGACGTATCGAAAAACGCGTTCGTAGAAATGGTCCAAGATCGTTTAACCGCGGAAGATTAGTCGCTTAATAGCCGCATCTCTTTTCTCGCAATAGGAACAGAACACATGCAGCCACGATATGTAACTGGTTTTTCAAAGAAACGATCATTCCGCGTGTGTCTAATTCCCGGAATCTCGTCGGTGTTGAATAAAAAATAAGCAAAACGATAAATACAGTATTTAATTTTGTATGCTTTTTCTCTCTTCCTTTTCTCGTTCGAAATGTTATCTGTTATGTGCACGTTTAATATGTGTGTTTTGTATGCCACGCTGAATATACGCGATTGTAGCGTCTTGATTTAATACCATATCGGGGTCTTCGAATTAGCATAACCCGGACGAGCAACGCAGTCAACGCGCAAAATAGCCCGAAATAAAACCGGGGACTAAATGTAGTCGTGATCTAATAGCCTTGGTATTCTATGTGAACGAAAGTGGCACTCCTCGTATCTCAAAATAGCGAAACATTACTCGATGAATTTCCATAGCACGCAATTCTCTTGACCCTGTAATGGACATGCACTCGCATTAATCCTTCTTTCAATTATTTTTTACGCAATTTATTATAGCTAAAAAATATGCAAATTTCGATTATTCCATGGCTTGATATAATTTCTCAATCATTTATTCAATAACTTACACGCAACCTTATATAATAAATCTCATTTACTTGTGCTTTTAATTTAATCTTCCTAAAAGATAAATCTTGTTTATTTTACTAATGCATGAGATTGTGTGTGTATCGTATAATATATTTAAATTAATTTTTATTACTTTGATAAAATTGATAATAAAATTAAAAAAACTAATAATTAAAGATTTGCACAGAATAAGAATTCATATAAAACAATTGTAAAAGCTGAGAATAAAGTTAAAATAAATATAAAGTTGTTCAGCTAAATCTCTGGTGAAATTACAGTGAGATGACGAGCTACGTTTTTCAAGTTGCGAATGCCATAATCATACCTCCCACGCAATTCATAAAAACTTATTGGTTATATTGGACGCATTTCAACAAGCGGAATGCGGTCATCGTGATTGTACATCGGGTGTTCGAACAAATAACTCTATAACGAAAATACGTTCCACACAAACGCACATATGTGGCTATTAACCTTTTTAAAGGTTCCTTACAACAGACGTTTTGCAATTCGGTCATAATACGAATCGTCCGAGTGAAAGTGATCTTTTATCGTACAAATAATTCTGTTGTTTCTTCTCGGCTTTTTATGCAAAATGACGGGCAACATAAAATCTTTTTCGGCTATTGGCCAAAGTATAAAAATATTGCTAAAAGTATTGAGTAATATCAAAGTAATAATCAAATCTTTCAAAAGCTAGGTTTTGATTTATGAAAACGTCTAAATAATAAATGAAGTAGTAGATATCTTTCCATCGCGCTAATTAAAACGAGTTCTTTTGTTAATACTTCGCGATTATAAATCACCACGATTATGCGCAATTAATGCCTTATAAAATTCGCGGTAGCACGTCACACTGATTCGCCTGTACGCACAGAGTCGCTTTCACGCGTGAGCACCAGCTGCGTAACGAGATTAAACCTGGTGTCATGATCTTCGTGTGCATAAGCTGCGTACTCTCGAACGCATTAATTCGATCGCTGCAGGTGTATCGAACGAGCTATTCTGTTGTCTACCTACACCAAAGGCGCCCGCCTTTAATTCGTGTGACCTGTGAGAGCGTTACATAATTTAAACGTGTAGCAAAGCATTAATACGACGTATATACTAAACGAGTTTCTCTGTATCTCATTGATTTGATTTCCTTCTATGCAACTATAAAGACCCCAATTTAGCTCCAAGTGTTAAATATAAAAAATAAAAATCTATTTGCATAAATATAACTAAAACATGTAATTATACCTTTAGATATAATATATTATTCTTATTATTTAACTTGTTTAATAAAAACTCTATAAATATTACAATTGACATTTATTTATTCGATAAAGATACATAATTACATTTACAAAAATATTTCATAAATTAAAAAAAAAAAAATATATATATATATATGCAGTTTTTATATAACAATTAATACTTCATGTAACAAGGAAAAAGGCGAAGGTTACGATTATAACTGAGTGCCTAATAATATTTCTATAGACATTTTAAATATACATCTTCATACATTTAAGTAGCACATCTTATATCTTTTCTGTATCGTTGTTTTAATTAATATAAGTACTGAAAATAATAGACATCGAGTTCTCTTCTCACAAGAAAAGAACGAAACCTCGACGGTAGCTCGCTCTTATAATTTACGTTCGTTATCATCGAGAAAATGTTCTCTCCTTTCATTCGCGTTTAATTACTCGCGCGCGTGAGCAACGAGATTAACATGCTTATAAACGTGACAGACCGTCGCGGGGCGAGCGGTAAGGATGCGATGTTTTAACGTGAAATTACATAATAATGAATGAGGGAACGCACAGGAAGATATATCTCTCGGCTTTCGTTGTTACTCATTAATTGTAACGTACATTAGTTAATAAGGTTAAAAAGAATTTAAGCAATAAATTGCGTATATCATCAAACGTATAGAATATCGTTCTTTTTCCAAACAATAAAACAGTTTCGATTTATCGACAACGTATAATTTGTCATTTATTTATTTGCGTTATAACTTTATGTTGCGACCTTATTAATGGCTTTTTAAACTCATCCAATGTTTTAATTACTAGACTTTATATATTTTTGTATTTAAAGAATTAATTACTAATAATTGATGAAGATTGGTATAGAGTCGTTCTACGATTTTTTATTGTGTCTTTGAAAAACTAGTTAGTTGCCAATAAATTGTTGTAATAAACTATAATAGTTTTAAATTTAGATCTTTTATATTGCACGTGGCTGACCTACTCTTATTAATATTGTTATTACAATTCCATGCAAATAATATCTATATTAATTTTAATTATTCTTTTCTATTTGATTCTTCGATAGATTGAGAAGCCACCAAAATTTTCACTGTTAACATAAACACATATGATGACACAAAATGATTTTTTAAAACAATCTGACGATTTTAAATAAAATTCTTTTTTAATAGAGCAAAAAATGAGTTAAAAAAGGAAGGAAAAAAGAATACTTGTATAAGATTTTTATCTAACTTATTTGGTTAATATTGTTATATAGTAATATAACAATATTTTTTTATTTAGTAATAAAAAAAACACAAATATTAATATAATTATTTATTAATTAATTTGGATCTTAATAAATTCGTAAACTGCCTTCAGGTTAAAAAAACAAGAGAACGAAATCTGTGGATTAAGTGCAGTCTGTTTCTTTTAATTTTCTCAAAAACGAACTCCCGCTTATAGCTCGT